GTCAGTTTTTAAACTTTTTAATATTTAAACTGTAGAGCAGGTAGAAGAAAATTATAAACATATAAATTGCTTAATGACAAAGTCTAGAATCAGAAGACCTGGATCGAATTTCTGGCTCTATCATTGCCTTATTGAATACTTTTGAGAAAGGAAAAATTTTCTCACTATTTGTAGTCTTATAACATTCATTATGACTGAGTATACAATAAAAATGACAGTAACACCTTGAATGTATAGCCCCAAAGTAGTTAGAAGCATTTCTTATGAATTATTTATTTGTTCAATATCCCTTTGGGGTAGGCTCGCATTGTTTCTTCTAGATAATAATAAACGGGGAGATATAGCCCTTCCTGTAATGATGTTAAAATACTGATTGTGAGATGGTTTTCTGCTTTATCGAACATCATGAAGATTCATGAAGCTGTCTGAGGCTTTATGCTCTCAGGAGGGGAAAAAATGAGTTATATAAGGTAGTTTTACAGCTCTTATACCTCTGATTTTTTAAGAGTTCAAAATATTTTGGGGTGAAAATATGTACAAATTATTTCAGGCCGGGTGTGATGGCTCACACCTATAATCTCAGCACTTCGGAAGGCTGAGGTGCGCGAATCACTTGAGGTCAGGAATTCGAGACATCTGGCCAACATGGTGAAACCCCATCTCTATTAAAAATATAAAAGTTAGCTGGTTGTGGTAGCAGGTGCCTGTAGTCCCAGCTACTCAGGAGGCTGGGGCAGGAGAATTGCCTGAACCCAGGAGGTGGAGGTTGCAGTGAGCTGAGATCACACCACTACAGTCCAGCCTGGGCAACAAAGCCAGACTCCATCTCCCCCCCAAAAAAAAAAAAATCAACAACAAAAATTATTTCAGTATTTAGCTTATTCCTGGATTTTTTTTCTCCATATTTTTCTGGAGACACATTTGTTTTTCCACACCCACTCAAACCATCTGTGTACCAGGCAAGTTTTCTGAGATGCAAAACCAAGTAAAATATGTCCATTTTATTTGTTTAGAAAGAACTATGACTAATGATACTGTGGGAAAAAATGGTATAGTTAATAAAAACTATATTCTCTGTATGAATGCCTACTGAAGCTTAGCAGCTATGGCCACTCAAAGCCATGCCCTAAGGATGGGTGTCAACACCTGTACTTTACAAACCAACCCTCCAAAGAACTCCTACAAGAAGCAAAGTCCATGTCTGCCCAGGATCTGGAGGGAGCCCCTGTGAAATGGGATTTTTTAACACCATCAAATGGTGAATATTTTTAAAATGTATGCAATTTTGAATGCTATAACCCTATATGAACATTTGCTTTACATAAAAATGTTTAAATTTATTTACCATTAATTAAATAGACTTTTTAAGAAGAGGTACCGTATTTGTTATTGCTTTGAAACACTCGCTAGGACACTGGCCTATAATCTGGGGGTTATGTTTACCCCAGTTTGAAAAGCACAGGGTCCTAGGACATTGTAGCCCAAATCATGGGATTTTTGTTAGAATTTAAGAAAATCCTTCCAGATGTCCCCTTTTTACTTTGCTATATGTGAACTCCTGAAAAACTATTTTGCCTACATGCTAATGAAATCTTTAAAACATAGCTGTAAACACCTAATTGGTAGCATTTTCACAGTCAAGATGATTAAAGAATATATGTCAGCTTTCTCAAATAGAAATTATTCTGTTTGAGGGAAATGATCTTTCTGAGGTGAGAATTACCTATCCACTTCTCTCTTTAGATCTCATTAAAACTGGAACCCAAACTAAGGAGTTATAAAACTTGAGGCTGTGTGTGTGCGAGGGAGCATTTAGAAAATGTGATCAAATAGAAGGCTGGTCATGCTCAGATAAGAATACAAGAAGTGACTTATTTATACATTCAAATTTCAGAATATTTGTAAGGCCTACCATGTGTGCTGCTAAAAGTCTTTTAATTTAAAATAATTTTGTTAGATAATTCTTTTTCAAGTGACATTATGATTTATCGCCACTAATCAAGATTCTGATCCCTTATAGACTTCTTATTTGTATCTGTTTTTGTTCTTTGTTACATAAATATGAGATTTATATATAAAATTCTGACTATGTAATATAGGGCTAATGAGTCACAGATGGAAAGATGCTGGCACATTACCATCTAATAACATTTTAAACTCATATTCCATAGTAAAACAAAAGCAAATTGTATACATCTGTTTTCCAACTTGTAGCATTTCTGAATTTATGCAGAATCTATATTTAAAGGACTTGCATTTAGAGAGAAGAAAAAGAGGACATAGGTCACCTCAAAACTACACAGCCACTTACTAGCCTTATCAGAACAAATCTGGCTAGAGAGATAAGATTTTCTCGGTTTTGCTTCCTGAGAAGTTGTAGTACTGAAGACTGAGAATCAAAGCCATTAGGGCTGAAGAAATGTCTTCAGACTGCAAACTAATTTTACTGCCTCTCTTAAAAAGAAAAACATATCTCTAATATGAGGAATGTGGAGAGAAAATATCCACAAAACTAATAAATTTAAAAATCTTGAAAATTTCTAGGCTTTCCTAAAAATATCTGCAAGATAAATTTGGGTGGGAAGAGGGAAAGGGCAGGAGGGGTGCCCAGGTCATGTATTGCTGTGGTTGTTGTTTATTTTATTTGTATGGTAAACATGTTCTGTGTTTTTTTTTTGGGGGGGGGAGGTGGGTAGGAGAATAAAAATCTTTAGTTTCACATGTTGTTAGAAAAGAAATAGAACAAAGACAAAATTTCTCTCTCAGACTTACCCAATTGATAACGCCTGTGAGGAGAAATTAGTACTAGTTATTGAAGAATGACTCTCGAAAACATCTGTCCCCTGTTCTTCTTGGATAAGGAATTTAAAACTGCTTTTCTGCATTAAGGGGTTGTGTGAACTGTCAAGTTCTTTTGGAAAAGTTATGTGACAGAAGTGATTACTGCAGAGTGTGGCCGTAAATCCCCCTGACATGAAATACACATGTTATAAGAGACAGATTTTCATCCACCACCTCTGCATGAATTCCTGAAACAGGAGAGATCTGAGATTCGTCATATGATTGGAGAGAGAAATTTTGATATGTGGGTGGCAAGACTATGTTTTGTGAGGTGTACTACGTTTATTCTGGGGAATAAGTCTGATCTGATGGCAAAATTTTGTTCCCTGTTGTTGTCCAAAAAAGAATTAATACGTGTATTGTATGTCCTGAGTTGTAAACAGAATGTCAACGGAAGGAAACTACAGTGTTGTTTTCGTAACAGTGTCTATAGTTATCTCCATTTTGGACTAACATTTTGTAATTAAGATGTTGCAATTTTGTAAGTAAGATTTCAGAAATATTCCATGTAGCAAACTCTTACCCTCTGTAGACACAGATTCCATTGTACCTGCCCCAGGCTCAGTGACAATGAGCCCTCACTCTCCCCATTCCAGGCTTTAAGAAGTGATTGGTTTGGCTGGGCATGGTGGTTCACACCTATAATCCCAGCACTTTGAGAGGCCAAGGCAGACAGATCACTTGAGGTCAGAAGTTCAAGACAGCCTGGCCAACATAGTGAAACCCCCTCTCTACTGAAAATACAAAAATTAGCTGGGCGTAGTGGTGTGCACCTGTAATCCCAGCTACTTGGCAGGCTGAGACAGAGAATCACCTGAACGCAGGAGGTGGAGGCTTCAGTGAGCTGAGACTGTGCCATTGCACTCCAGCCTGGGTGACAGAGCAAGACTCTCTTTAAAAAAAAAAAAAAAAAGGTCAGACATGGTGGCTCATGCCTGTAATCCCAACACTTTGGGAGGCCAAGACAGGTGGATCACTTGAGGTCAGGAGTTCGAGACTAGCCTGGCCAACATGGTGAAACCCTGCCTCTACTAAAAATACAAAAATTAGCAGGGCATGGTGATGCATGCCTGTAATCCCAGCTACTAGGGAAGCCGAGGCAGGAGAATCACTTGAACCCAGGAAGTGGAGGTTGAGACTTCGTCCAAAAAAAGAAAAGGTTTATTTTGGGGTCTCAAGTATCTAATTTTGTTTATGGTGTGTCAGACAAGGCAAGACTTAGAGCCAGGAAAGGGAGACACTAGGTATGTACTTGTTTTGTTTGTCCCCAGTGAAATGTCTGTGTGACATTTTATGTCGTGTTGTTTTGGTGCTGTGCTGTGTCCATAGGGCCTGCCAGGCTTCCCCACAGTTGCTGCCCTGCACAGTAATCAGATCCTCACCGTCAAGGTTTGTGGTTGTCACCTATGCCTGCATAGTCAGAGCTGCAATCAGCATAAGCGTGAGCAGGAACCATTTAATTGGCTTGCTGAGCCCGTTAGCTTCCTCTCATCATATATATCAAGTTATTGGGCACTTGGGACCCCACTTGCATCAGTGAGGTCAAATATCAATTAAGAGGGTGTATTCTGGGCATACTTGAGAGGAGGATATTGATGTCAAACAGGTACTGTGAAGAGAGGTGGGCATAACGATCTACAACCATACCACGCCTTGATGGCTTAATTTGCATGCATTCTAATGCTCTGTAATATTTTTCCGGTCAATTAAATAATCCTAAGTACTCTCTCTGGACTTCGGGCATCAATAAAATGGCAGTCGAGTTCATGCCACGTTATGCTGGTTGACAAGTCTGATGGAAATGGAACTGGCATTTCGTCTCTAGACTTTCTTCTCAGAGTGAAGAATGCAGGGATGCACCTGCTTTCCTGCTTCTGGGAATAAACTACATTAAAAAGATCCAACATCCACAGCAAAATGATGGGGCACAAAAAATCTTCATTACTACTGAAGATATCTGGTTTCACCATCCCATTTCAGGATATTTCTTTCAAGAAGATCCAGTGGGTCTAATGTTAGACATAAGTGCCAGTTCTATTTTTTTAAATCATTATAAGTCTAATGTATATATCTTTATTTCTTTCTTGGGGCCTTCTGATGTCTATTCTTCAACTCTCTCATCTCTGAACTTCAACCTTTGACCTCACCTGACTGATCAGATGGTGTTTCCTAAAATCAATCATGGGTTTCTCTCTGCTGATCAGCAGCTCATTAAACGCCGCCTGATTAAGGTAGTGCTTATTCTTGCTGAAGTCTGATTTCTTCTTTACAGTGGATATTGCTCTGTGCACCTATTGCTTTATAATTTATCTATTATGGGTGGGGTGTGGGTGGCGGGTGGGTATTTATTTGGAGATATCCTCAAACAAAATTTCATTTAGTGAGCTGCATTTGTTTGAAATGTTAGATGACAGTACCAAAAAAAAGATATTAAAAGCGTATCAAATTTTTTCTTAGTTAAAAAAATGTAAATTGTAACCACTAACAGATCCAGTTTCTAAGCTTTCCAGCTTTGCTAATTTATAAATTATCATGCCATATGATGGGAACTTCATATGCTTAATTTTATAGGGTATGAAAAAGTAAACACATTTGCCTAACTATAAATGCAGCCATTTTGTTAAATGTGGTGAACGTAACTGATGCAGGGTTGTTATGAATAAAGTAATGCACATGTTTTATACCAGCTCTGACTACAGTGGTGACATATGCCCATTTTCCAAGAACTGTAAGCGCTGGTTCCTGAACTGCTTTGATTTTAAGAGCATCTACTCAGTCACCCAGCATGAATATTTATTTGCTGCCTGCTGGGAGGCAAATTGCCTACAGGCTTTATATTTGTGACTGTTCTGGTTCTTTTCATAGTGTAAATGTGGATTAGATAATACAAATTTAAGGTGCTGAAAAGACCTGGGTCTTTATCTTTCATGGTTATTGCTGGTCTGTTCCCTTCTCCATCACAGGGTGACCAAGGACAGGCAGGGCCTCCAGGACCCCCAGGCCCTCCAGGCCCAAGAGGACCACCTGGGGACACAGGGAAAGATGGCCCCCGTGGAATGCCAGGAGTACCCGTGAGTTGCTTTTTGGATCGCTTGTTCTCAAAAGTTTTGTTTCGTGTTAAGGGCTGAGAACTAGGGTGGAGTAGGGTGGTGGGGGCATCAGGTCAGGGGGTCCAGTGAGCGTCGTGGGTTGAGGGAAGTGGGATGATGGGAAAGTCCCCAAGCAGCACAAGGGACTCCCAGGTGCATTCCTCTTTACCACACAATCCACTGGGGATCCAAGAAAACCACTAGAGACACCTGGAGGCAGCCACTACCCTGTTTTTAAGCCTCAAGAAATCTGTGATTGGAGTTTGCCGGACCACATTTGTCTCTTCACTGCCATAGTGTGCACCAGGGCCTTTGGTTTAAATGGGAGATTCATTTGAAAAACTAAGTAGGAGACTAATAACATTTTCCAAAGGCTCAAGATCAGACCGATAAAGTTCTATGCTATTTACGGAAAGTAGAGGAAAGGAAATGTTCCAATATTTAATCCCTTATAAATAACTTGAACCTCCAAAATTGCTAAAAACCGTAAAATGAATGATTAAAACACCAGTGGGTGTGGTTTAAATATCATTTGTCTTTTGTATGTAAGGCTTATTCACAGAAATGATTTAAAAGCAATCTCAATATTTGGCTACTAAGTTTGGTCAAGTGTCAATGATATAGTGGTAAAAGGCAGAAGATAAATAGTTTGGTTTCATAGAGGCAATCCAGCAATTTAAAGAAATATATGGAAAAGGTCAAAAGTTTTAGATTTATTTTATGACTTTAGGACTAGAAATTAAGGCTTATTACTAAATTAAATTATTTTTCAATATATTTATTTAACAAATTATTTTCTTTGTTTTTGTAGTACATAATAATAATGAAAATATTTATCCCCAAAGCAGAAAATTTTGAAAATAAGACCAAAAGGAAAAAATAAAAATTTACAATAGTCATTAATGTTTTGGTATATTTTCTTTCATTTTTATATGCATATGTTTATGAATTTTTAAAAAGTATGACTTTTTATAAGAATATAACATACTTTAGAACTTCTGAGACAGCCTCATAAGCCCATATCCCTTTCTAAAAGCTGCTGTGAATTCACTGATATAAAATGAGGAATGGTCTTTCAACATATGATTTGCTAGTTGTTAGGACTGCTTTCACTCAACCTTCAAAGACAATAGTTGAATTCTATCACTGTCTTCTAATGCCTCACTTTTTCTCATAATGATATTCCAAAAGGCAGAGACAGCTACGGCTTTAGGGATATTTAAACTTCTCCCATTGATTGCTGGTTGCCAACAGAGATGCAATGATTGTCTCTCAAAAAGTAGTTAAAACCATTTTGATGGTAAAACATTAGTCAGATCATTGAGCATTATGTACTGTACTCAAATTCAAGATAGAAATTACCTTTATAAAAACAAATTTAAGGGTAAGGTATAACAAATCACAGAATCCAAAATTATATCATTATTTAAATGAACATAGTGAATTCATGTAAGTAAGAAATGGAGCTTTCTATACATAGGACAAATTAACTTGTTTCAAAATTTTCAAACACATAACTTGAACTGTATATGGTCTCAGAGTTTATTTATATATACTATGATGACTGCTAGAAAAAGTTTTTTGTGTGTGCAATGAGGTCTTTGCTATGTTGCCCAAGCTGTAGCATGGTGGCTATTCACAGGTGCCATCATAGCACACTATAGCCTGGAAGTCCTGAGCTCAAGAAATTCCCCTGCCTTGGCCTCCCAAATAGCTGAGATTACAGGCATGTCATCATGCCTTGCTAGAAAAAGACTATAAAAATAAACTGTGAAATACTTATTTTGAAAGACCAGCAATATCTACATTTATAGGCTTTTTAAGACAAAAAATATTTTTAGCCAATGACTATCATCATGACAATAAAACATGATAATTCTAAATCCATTTGAATATAAGGAAATGATAGTAATGTCATGATATAGTACAATGTTTTCTATCAAATTTAATCAAACATGTTGCTTCAGCCATTACTAATCCAGGAAGACCAAAATTTAAAATCAGTCTCTGCTCATTTTATTGTTTAACTCTAGTACTAAGAGCAGTTATCTTTCTGTCCTATGTATGAAAGTTCTGAGTTTTCCTAAAGAAGACACCATGTCATTATCTTTGTGTCATCCTAAAGAAGACATGACAATCTAGACTAATTTTATTAAACCCTAAATTTGTGAAGTTTGTTTGTAGAAGGGAAATCAGCTCTCTTTTAATGTGCTACATTCCTCTATTTAACCTGAATGAATATACTTGATATTTACATGCCCCAATGGGTATAGGGAAAAAGAAAAAAAAATGATTAAGGGTTTTTTAAAAAATGCTTACAGCATTACTAAAATTATCACTATTCTTTTTTAAGGGTGAACCAGGAAAACCAGGAGAACAAGGCTTGATGGCAAGTATCTCAATTTAGCTTTTTCTATAGTAAGCCAGGTTATTTAAAACTATGGTCAAGATTATGTGTGACAGATGTATCTGTGATATGACAGACTATAATAAAGAAAATTAGTAAAAGTTAAAAGTAACACAGCCTATCTACTACATGCTAAGTGTCATAAGACTACATATTTACATTGGTGATGCAGGAGAAAAAGAAAGAGAGTCCAGGTGTGGGAAGCAACAGAGACCCTGGAGGTCAAAGGAGATGATTTAGTTCATGACTCTGCTGTAAGAGAGATTAAATTTAGGGGCATGCCTATTAGCTTAAATAGTAATAGAAATTCCATTTTCAAAGGGATCAGGTCTGACTAAATTAGCACAGCAAACTTTGCAAAATGATTCAAAGAGTTATTTCACTGTTGTAAAATAGTTGTGTCTTTTGGTTTTCTGTCATTAAAAAAAAAAAAAAATGATCCCGAAATGATTCCACATGGACTTACTCATAGACACACAGGTCCCAATTCCCCATGATTTGTTTATCTTTTGCTGGTAGAAAAGATGTTTGGTCAGGTTGATGAGTCGGAAAGAGTAGAATTCCTTCAACCTACCTCTTCCTGTCCCCTTCCCTCTCTCTCTTGAGCTGCCGCTCTGATCTATGTTATGATATGAACAGTACTGGGAATCACAGGGTAACTCTCTAATAACCTAAATGCCTGAGGATGGCTCACACTCATCCTGGATACTGAAGGAGTGGGCCCAGAGATTGCCAGAAAGCTGGCAGGTAACCACAGTGAGCTTGACACTGTCCATCCTGCAAAATGTTTGGCATGCAGCATGCAGATTTTCAAAGTATAGAATTTAGACCAGGCATGGGGACTCATACCTGTCATCTTAGCATTTTGAGGCCAGGGTGGGAGGATCACTTGAGCCCAGGAGTTTGAGACTAGCCTGGGTAACATGGTGAGACCCTGTCTCTAAGTGTATATATACATACACACACACACACATACACACACACATATGTACACACACACACACACACACATATTCTAAATAAATATATATATATATTTAAAAAACAGGTCCTAGTGAAACTAATGCATAGGGTCAGGAAGAAATAAGTCTTCCTTGGGCTTGAGATGCATTCAGCAGCTCTCCCAGGGAGTCAGCTGTCGGTGGAGCTGCCTTTGCAGGAGCCCTGGTGAAATGAAAGCACCCTGGGTCCAGATATCACCCACTGCCTGGAAATTCTCTGTTCCTAACCTGTAATATCAAAATACACATTTGATACAGATAATTTTTTGGTACTATAATGGATTTTTTGAAAAAGGAAAAAAGTGGAAGAAACAGGAAAAAGACCATATGTAAAACTTAAACAAAACCTTTGTCATCAGTGGTAACTGCATAGAAGTGTAGCGTTAGTTCTCAGTGGTATGGAGTTACAGAGTACAAAGAATTCTGGGAGAGTGACAATATGAATTTTGCAATTACTTTAAGCAATTGAAGGTATATGTAATTTTTTTCCTGGAAAATGGTGAAAACACATTCGTCCCGTATATTCTTATACTGAAAGCTACGTGGGCTTCTCAGGAGGCTTTGTTTGTCCCCAGGTGTGCACAGATTACTCAGATTTTTATTGCTGGCCTTGGCTTTTTTCTCTGATGCCCAACACAGCATCCTAATATATAGTGTTCAAAAATTAAATAGATATATATTTTAAAAATTCTTATCTTCCTTGAATTTACATATGCTCTCTAAGATATATTCTGTGACTAACAATATAATCTCATTTTCTTACCATTCCTAGTTTGACAAAGTTGAATACAAATGTTTGACCTGATCCTAAATCACCTGCATTATTATCTTAGTGTGCTCCAATTCCCATTTCATATCAAAACTTTCTCAGGTGAAATAATACTGGATTTCTTTTTCTACAAACTTTTCTTCACTCTTTAAATTCTTAAGATTTAGTTCATGTTCTTATTTTTTAAATGCATTTAAGAAACCTAATGGAAATCACAAATGTTTCAAGGATATGGATATTAAATGATCTAAGTGGTATTTTAAAATTACTGTTTTTAAAGATGTAAGATTCTTTTCAAAGAGGAAACTTCTTTAATGTATATAAAGAAAGGTAGACAAATTATAGTGTATATCCCAGTGAATTTTCACCAAGTGAACATAACTATGTAAAAATCAGTTCAAGAACGAGGACATTATCTTAAACCCTCCTTTACCCCCATTACCATCCCAGAGGTAACCATCATCCTGACTTCTGTCACTATACATTAGTTTTGCCTACATTTGAATTTTATGGTAATCAAATCCTACTGTAGGTACACTTTTGTGTCTGGCATCTTTCATTCAACATTATATTTGTGAGATCATCAACCTCTGTTTTAATGACTTTCACAGCTTGTTTAAAAAAATAAGAGGAAGAACCATATTTCCTTGACTACCCCATTAAAACCACATCATTCTGATAGCAGTAAATGAATGAATGTCTGTCTGACCTTGGGCAAGTCACTTAACCTCTCAATTTCTCATCTGTGAAGAAAGGATAACAATACCCTCTCTGACTGCCTTAAAAGGTTGCCAAAGACAATGCAATAAATTAGGGGAAAGCACTTTAAAACATATAATGAAGAACTATATGACTATGTTGTTATGATTATCACTCAGTTGTTCTCTCTAGAGTAAGTTACAGGTGAGTGTGGATTTATATAACAGATGTATTCCTGCAGAGTTTTGTCTAAATCAGATTTTCTTATATCAACATATTTTGAATGTGCCAGGGAATTTTGCTATTTAAAGAAATCCTATTCAGAATCTTTCTATAAATCAGTATAATCCCCTAATTCAGCTAACTGAATATCTATATTTTATGTTTCCTTAACATGAAATATTTCTCCAATCTAAAAATCTATCTTTTTAAAAAGGAATCATGATTTGTTAACTTGAATAGCACCTATATATTTTAACTCATATCAAAGAGAGAAGAGGATGCTAGAAATATAACTGCAATTTTAATGAGGAGGAAATTTTTCTTAGAAACTTAGAAATTTTCTTTCACACATTGTGTGTGTGTGTGTGTGTGTGAGTGTGTGTGTGTGTGTCCATGTACTTGAAATCTGGTAGGGAGAAAAGTATATTGTATCAGTAGTTCTGGTTTTAGAACTACTTAGTGGTGTATAACTGTAGTCTGTGATCCTTTTTACTGATCTGTAAAATGTAGGTAATAATTCCTGTTCTACTTCTCTCACTGGGTTATGGTGAGAAGCAAGTGAAATGATAATATGAAATATTTTATGAACCACAAAGAGTTCCATAAATGAGAAGTATTACTATTAAAACAAATGTCTGATGATATAACTTGGCATACAGAAAGGCTGCTCTAAGAAATGTAAGAACTAAGAACAGTTGTATAATAGCTACCAATTAAATTACAACATGTCAAATACTGCAATGAAGAGTGGAATGTATTGCTTTTGTCCTATTTGTAGTTGTTGTTGTTTTAGCCTTCCTCTCCTGTATATCATATCATCTTCCATTATCAATTTTTCATAACATTCCCCTTGTTACCCACTTATTAAGACAAACAAAACATAATAAATACCACTGCTCTCATTTTTTTCACATTATGTAAACCCCACTCCACTTGTTGGTTTGTGTCATGGAGGAGTGCTTGCTTACATAAGGGTCTTAAGAGGCACTAGAGAATTGTTATAAATTTAAAATGTCTCTGATGATGAAATGAAGAAGCTAGAAACAATCTAAAATTAGCTCTTGCAAAAGTGTTTATGAGTATATCAGGTAGGGAATTAGTTTTCATAATCTAAGATATAAGTTTATATTGCAGAAGTAACCATCTGAAGATTAACAGCATCTATGATAGAATGAAAAAGAAAACCTGCAGCTGACACAGTTCCACATTTATTTAACCCTGCCATGCATCTATTCTGTAAACATGACCTTTGGGTTTTCAGAGATGTTCAGAATGACCTTTTGAAAGGCAGTTCTTGCACTTAAATAAATTTGCCTCTACCTAAATAAGAACTGCTGCATCTTATAAAAGTAGACCAAAGAATGAATAAAGGAATGAACATAATTGGAAGTGATCACTTTCTGAATCCTAGTACAAATGATCTTTATCTTTCAGTTCTTCAGAAATTCAAATGGTTGTTAAAATAGTATTTTAATAGGTATGTTTCCTTTTGATATTCTGTTTCTTTCTTTGACAAATGCAGAAATTTTCAAAAGTGTAAAAGATAGATGGTATTTTAAAAAATATGCCAAATAGTGGCTGGGTATGGTGGCTCACACCTGTAATCTCAGCACTTTGGGAGGGCGAGGTGGGTAGATCACAAGGTCAGGAGTTTGAGACCAGCTTGGCCAACATGGTGAAACCCCGTCTCTACTAAAAACACAAAAATTAGCTGGGTGTGGTGGTATGTGCCTGTAATCCCAGCTACTCAGGAAGCTGAGGCAGGAGAATCGCTTGAGCCCGGGAGGCAGAGGTTGCAGTGAGCTGAGATTGCACCACTGCACTCCAGCCTGGGCAACAAAGCAAGACTCTGTCTCCAAAAAAAAAAAAAAAAAAAAAAAATACACACACAAACTAGCTCCAGTTTCATGTATACTATTTTTTGTTCCAAGTTGTCTATATCCAAAGTTTCAGAGACCAATTTCCTGTTCTGAAGTTCTTTATTCCTTTCTTCCCCTCCCCTACATATAAATAAGCTCCATAGCATATTCATTTATCTTGTACTGAATGATAAGAATACTTAAAATGTTCCTCATTGGGTCCTGGTTGTATCTGAGAGTTAAAACTCAGAGGCCGGGCGCGGTGGCTCAAGCCTGTAATCCCAGCACTGTGGGAGGCCGAGGCGGGTGGATCACGAGGTCAAGAGATCGAGACCATCCTGGTCAACATGGTGAAACCCCGTCTGTACTAAAGCTACAAAAAATTAGCTGGGCATGGCGGTGAGCCGAGATCACGCCATTGCACTCCAGCCT